TGTAAGTGTATAGTAGTTTAATATCACTCAGCAGCAGAATAAGGAATTTGTCTTTAGTAATTACAAATTGTTCATCATTTGAATAAAGCAGATTCCAGGTATGCACTGTACACACACACACACACACACACACACACACACACACACATAAAACCTAGGGATGTAGTTGGATATAACAAAGTGAAGTGCCTTCACCCTTAATCTGCACATTGGAGGAATTGTAATGTTTTCAAGAGGAAACTTGAACATTGTCTTCAATCAGATCCTATCAGTAAGTCTCATGGTGCAGCTCTCATTTGGCATGACATGACATCAGATCAAGGAATGAGAAGAATGTAACTGGAGGGCATGCTCCATGTGCCCCAGTCAATAGCACTGAACATCACCCCCTCACCAATCAGACCCCCAATGACCATGCCACCTGCAAGCCTGAGTTTCAGACATGCACATTTCTATAACAAATGCGTTTCATCATGAATGAATTTCCAGATGGTGATACACCTTCAGTGCAGATTAAATCGGACTTACATCTCACCGTGGCCTGTGTATCCCCAGGGCAGAGGCAGAGTGTGCGCTAGATGACAGCATGACGCTTGTCACCAACATACGCCCAGCTTTTCTTCCCCCTCACTGGATCTGCCAGTACTGTTTATATCTCATCCACACATGGGGAAATCAGTGAGAATAATTCTGCTCTATTGTTGTAAAAATAAATAAATAAATAAAAAGTATGGACCCATATCATGGTAGATTACAAATTTTAAACTACAAACTACATAGGTGTGCTAATTTTGCTGAAAGGTATGTATTGGGTTATTTAGTATTACTAAAATAATGTGCACTAATAAAATTCTGTAAATTATGTATTGAGAGTCTTTTTAAAATATTTGTTTTTAAACAAGTATTTGTCATGACAAGTTTCTGTGTTTGTCATTGGCTCGTGTATCATTAAACAAATGTCAGTAAATAAGTACATGTTTTCTCTCTTGTGCTTTATGGCTTGCTGTAATAAATATATCACCCTCAATCAAAATGCAGAACAAGACTCCCATTTAAGGTGTCCAATAGCTCATTTACTGAGTTGTTCAGTGTTTTTTTTTTTTACCCTCCCTGTTTTAATGAAATCCCTCACTCACATGATTTCATTTGGCCTGAGCATTAGTGGTAGAGGATGTAATAATTACATTGAAATATTAATCCAGCCCTTGAGACAGAGCCATGAATCACCAGCATGACGAACTTGAACATACGCTCTTGTCTTTTTTCCTATCACACAAGACAAATGAATATAACAAATAATTGTAATCCACTCTGGGAATGCAGAAGCCTTATAGTATTACAAAAAGATACTATTGGAAAAGATGTAGGAAAGAGAGAGTGTGATTAGGTCCATTTGATATTCTGTGTTCTGGAAACAGAGGGTGTAATGGCAGAAAAAGTGAACAGTTAGGAGAAATACCCTGGGTCTAGGATACTTAATCAAAGGTAGAATTCAAGATATATGTGTAAGTTTGGTGAATTGTATTTTTAATTCATTTGGTATGTTCATGTCCAATTTGGTTCCTTTTTTGATATTATAGAATTTTTCTTTATTTCTTTTGTTTTAGTGAAGTGATTTGAACTTTCCTTCAGATTTATACCATATAACATGCTCCATGAACAAGCCTTCTCTAAAATATTGCTTTGTAAACACAGTGCTTATTAACTATGCCCATGGATTTTGATTATTTAGGTCCAATACAAGGGATATTTTAAAATATATATCTCATTTACTACCTGTAGAAGTTTTGTTGCTTGTGTTTATTTAATCCCTGTGGTTTGACTGGGTAAAATTCAGATGAGCAGCTTTTATTTACAGTCTTTCACAAATATTTTGTGATTGTGATTTGCACTTGAGCAGCTGGAAGTTTAAGTTTTAAACTGTGTTTCCATTCTGTGTTTACTGAAGAGCAACGACCCTTGCTTCTTTTTAGATATGCACCCAGCCTCTGCTGTTCCTGAGTCTGTAAGCCATCCCTCAGCCTCTCTTCACTTTTCCACTGCTATCACTCACTGCCTCACGTAGGGCTAAATGCCCTGACACAAGCTGGGAGATGGGATTACCAGCAGGGAGCTGGAGGCTGATTGCATTTTCATGCTGTCTCTGTGGTAGAGGGGGGGTGGTAATGGTGCCAAGGTGGGCACAGGTGAAGGCTGGTGCTGTCGTCCAAGGAGGGACATTGTGGAGGGCTGGACAGAGGGATGGATGTATGGCTGGTGTCATCTGGATGTCTCCATGTTGTTCATCACTCGGTGCTTCAGTTAAAGGGAGGATGTCATTTGGGTCTTGATTTTAGTTTTGCAGGTCATTGTTCTGGGAAGAAAATTCCCAATACCACACTGGTGTTCAGCAAAATACAGAACAGTTGAGTTTCACCAAGACCATGTCCCTGCTTTTATAGTGTGAGAATTGAAAAATAGATTTCACAGACAGTCAGTATTGATCTAATGAAACTAAGTCGTAGTTTACAGTTGTTCATAAACATGCATGATCAAAATGGACATTTTTAAAAAAATATATATTTTTATTTTATAGTTTGGGCTTTGTGAGGTAAGTAAGACACCTGAGATTCAGTGTAAACTGACCTTGTTACTCATTTATGCTATTTATGACAGTAACTAACATTAGTCACTAACAAATTCCTATAATTTTGGAGAGTTTGATACACCGATTCACATGCATGTGTTACCTGGTCTATAAATCTCAGCCAAGCAATCAGATGCACCTGCAACAGAAATCATTCAACATGCTTCTGACAGCCTGTACAATTCTGTTCTGTTTGACAAATATGATAAGTGAGCATGAAGCTGGGGACATGGGGTCGAAGTTTAAAATGACAGTGCTTTTCCATCTGTTCTGTGTGTTACGCAAAATTTTGTCTTTGAGTCTTTGATTAGGAGACACTCATCTACATACAAGCAGATTGCATTGTTGAGAAACATTGCTATTACACTAAAAACTCCTTGTGCCACCTAAGTGGGTCCTATGGTTTGTCAATCTGGGGGAACCCTTAAAGGCTCTATGTAGAACCCTTCAATCGATTATTTCCCATGTAGAAAAGGTAGAACCCATGTAGAAAACTACTAATATTAACATTCAAACCAGCTAACAATTTAATGTTTTCTGAACATTGAAGCTCTAGGGCGTTTTCTTTGACATATTTTCTTGGTTTTCAGAGATGCTTTTTATGTTTGTAAATGTTTTTTTGGTGTGTGTGTGGTTTTTTACATTTTTTTTTTACATTTTTAGTTAGAGGACCGTTATCAGTGTTTCTGGGGTTTCCTGCAGGTAAGCCAGTTTCCTCTCCCAGTCCCAAGACATGCATTGAAGTCTGATGGGCATCTCTAAATTGTCCATAGTGTCCAGTGGGTTGGCACTCCATCCGGGTGTCCCCTACCTTTGTTCGTAGGCCACTGTGACCCTAAGTAGGATAAAGAAAATATGGATGGTTAGAAGTTCTAATAACATTTTGTAGCAAACCATTATTATAACAGATATCGTATGTTAGAAGATTGCAGGTACATTATATCTGGAATGTCACAGTCTAATATTTACATGTTCTTTCACTGATGACAAACATGTTTTAGAGATTAGTTTATATTTTTTATATAGAAATAGATATTTCTAGACAAAGGTCTCAGCTAATGAATCGTGTAAGGAAACAGGTTTTAATGAAAATGTGTTTTCTTAAAAAAAAAAAAAAAAACCATTTAATTTCATAGCTTAATCAGACGCACTGACAAAAACATGCTATTTTAATTTCATCCATCCAACAAGAATGTAAAGTCCTAAGTTATCTAATAATGGTGTACAGTAAAAGGAGTTAAGTGATCAAATACATTATCTTTTTTGTTATTATTCTGTTCACACTATTATGAACAATCCAATTCCTCAAATGCTTAATTCTCCAACCTTTTTTTTAAAATTAAGCATAATATCACTGTCACAAGACAAGACTAGGACAGGAAGTAAGCACAGGAGGGAAGTCTTTATTTAAACTTAAACTCAAGACTTGAAACAGAAAACCTATCCCTCAACACAGGATGAGACATGAAGTACAAAACTTAGAACCAGACTGTGCCTAGAAACACTAACTTAACTCAGGTATGAACCAGATTTATCTTAGGCAAGAATACTCATCAACACAGACACTCAACTCAAGCATGGCATGAACACTTAAAGGATAGACATGCATTCACTCTACTATGGCATGGCATAAACACTCTTTACTATGGCATGGCATAAACACTCAACTAGGGCATGACCTGAACCCACAACTTGTATTTCTTGGTGTTGTTTTGCTGCAACCCTCAAGCTTTGTTTCTCTTAGACCAGTCCCAATTCATGTGGGTCGATTCCGTCTCTTCCCAGTTAAGTTCAGAAGAAGTTTAGGTCAAAACCAGGTTAGGTTTAGGTTAGGTTTAGGTTAAGTTTAGGTTAAGTTTAGGTTAAGTTTAGGTTACTGCCAGAATAATGCCGCGCAACGTGCGCAGCAACACGAGGGGTTTAAATACCTAGTCACAAGTCTCTTAATTGGAGACAACTGGCAACACTTGACGCAGTGGTAGCGTCCATGTGAATATCCAGCACGTGCACGTGCACACTCTGAATCCGCTCATGCACATTGTCGCCTGAGCCCCCTCTGCTGGCGCAATCGTGACAATCACCAATGTTCTTAGGCACACAAGACATTATAACATGTGGTTCACTTAGTGTTTTAATTATTAATACAATAAATTAAACAAAGAATAAAAAATGTTTTTTTCAAAATGAACAAAAACCTTCATCTGATGGTCTTGGCAAAATGACAGAGATCCAACTGAGGTTACAACAGATTAAACACTAGCAAATATTTTTTCAAACAACTGATTGACAAGTAAACTAATTAAGAGAACTAAGTAATATATAATATTTAATTTAATTCAACAATGTAATTTTATTATAACCGGGGGTTATATAAGCATGGTGGTTTAGTGGTTAGAACGTTCGCCTCACATGTCCGGGGTTCGATTCCCGTCGTGGCCATCCTGATACTACCTGTGCTGCAGGGGTTTCCTCTGGGTACTCCCGGTTCCTCCCCCAGTCCAAAGACATGCATAGGTTACATATAGGTTGATTGGCGTGTCTAAATTGTCCGTAGTGTATGAATGGGTGTGTGGGTGTGTATGTGATTGTGTCCATGTGGTGGACTGGCACCCTGTCCAGGGTGTACCTTGTGCCCGATGCTTCCTGGGATAGGCTCCAGGTTCCCCGTGACCCTGAAGAAGGATTATAACTGGGTTCCAGAATCCTTCCAGTGCTTTTCTCTTTGTAGCAGTATGTCTCATTCTGAGTCTCTGGTGGCTCACTGGAAAAACTAAAGAAGCTTATGTAAGATTCAGTGTAATAGTAAGCATAATTATGTGACATATTGTAGTAGCAACAGAAATCTTCTCAATTCTATAGGAATACAAGGGATCTGTAACCTGTTCTTAAATTATATCAGTTACTTAGATTTTATTTGTCTGACCTGCATGACTTAAGAGTTGGGCAACAGGAGTCAGACATGTTTACTCTCTCTGAAGTCCATTAAATCAGGGGTTATGCTGTAGAATTGCCTTGTACGGCTTGACTGGAGTGGAAGTGCCTTCCCTGTTAGCTTCAATAGAATGCCATTGACTGGACAGAAACAGACATGTTTTGGGTTAGCATTTGCTGTTGGACCATGAGGGTGCAGAAACTACACTTTTACATCATGGTGTTGATTGTCCACATTGATGACCTTTGCTGGCCACCAATAGTCATCGTACACCACTGTAAGGAGTCTCCTTCCTCAGTGCTGTCAAGAGCAATGTGTGTATTGATGCCTTCAGAAGCTTTCAGCAGTGGCTCTGAAAGGGTCTACTTGCTGTTGCACCTCCCTGTGCTGTCTGGACCTTCTCTGATACCCCTGATCCCTATAGTCCAATTCAAAGATTTGTCTCACTTTTTTGTCTTGAACGCTTTTCTTCCACCTTTGTCTTTCCTTCTCAAGAATCTCCCTTATGATTTCTGGGCCTCTGTTTATTTTCTCTCTTTCTTTGATACTCCCTATTTCTCTTTTTTTTCTCCTCTAATAGTTTGTCTAGCCATTCTTGCCGATTTTATAGATCAAATCAATACATGTCAGAAATCTTATTTAAAAAAAATCTAGAAAAGATATACAGTCCAGTGTGTGTATGTGAATGTCTACATGTATGTAAATCAGGCCAATTAAAATCATGAAACAACATTAGAATAATTCCCCATATTCAAAAGTAAAATTATATCACTATATAAAGAGTTTTTGTGAGCGTTTGTCAATTCCTTCAGCTAGCAAGCAAATACAGACAAAATACAGGAAACGCAGGAAACACGGCAAATCATACGTGCGCAAACATAGACGTACGGCCGCTAGCATGCTAAATTCTACAATCGCTACACACCATAATACTGCGTGCCGTGCGCAGTGATGCAAGGGGTTTAAATAGCCAACATAATTACTCTAAACATAAACACCTGGTTCAAATTAGGCTACACCCTCGCACATCAAGCCAATGTTCGAACAGGACGAGAACGAAACCAAAACAAGAGTCACATGTCCACATAGATATCAGTGCCATCTGCCGGCAGTGGCGTAACAGACAGAAATTATCACAATGGGAAGATGGTGTTGAAATGTACAAGCTGTGACAACAGAGACTTAAATATTGTTTGTTTGAAATATAAAAAAAACAAATAGCAAACTTACCAGACCAAGCATCCTACTGTTGCATCCACAATGAGCTGGGATGGGGAGAGGGGTCCTGTATAGCTGACTATTATAGCTGACTGTGACATTTATTCAGGATTATAAACAAAAGTATGACGGAGTTGACCCAAAGTGAGGACACAACTTTGATCATCAGTTTTTTGGGGAAAATATCATTTAAGATTTACTTTATGTATTATTCGATATTTTACAGATCTCTGCCTTTCATTTTAAATGTATATTTATTAATTTATTGCATTTTAAGCACTTTGTTTGGCAGTCATATATTGTGACTTCTTATGAGGACATGTTAAATGTTTACCAAGAATAGAGCATACATTTAGAAGAATTGTAATTAAATTAATAAAAAAATATATTAGCCCAGAGTATGCTGATTACCTTTTGCTTGAACTTGAATTTCTTTATGAATTTCTTAATTTTTAACATAAAGAGGACTTTTGTACGTAGGACAAATTTTTTATTTATTTTTTTTAGGGGGAGACCTTTTCACCTGACCACCTCTTATGCTCTCAGATTATTATTCAGTTATTTATCATAAAGCTTATTACTTCTATTAATTATTTAGTAGTGAAATTAATAGGAGAGTATTTACAACAGTATGGAATGTAAGTCAGGACCTGATGAGGATTCCTGGGAGCTTAAGGACTTAACCCACTTGAGATGCTCTAGAAAGAGTTGTATAAAAAGGTCATTAGAGATAACTAACCAGCTCAAATAGTCTTGCAAGACTGAATGGAATAATCTTTGAGGAATTCCTTGAAAAAAGACTTTGTATGAAGAGAATGTGTGCAGTAGTTACAGCTGTTTGTTTATATATATACATATATATAAATAATAAAACAATACTTACTAATTAATATATTGCAAACTAACAAAGAACGTCCCTGTTGCACACATACTGGATCTGAAAAGATCTGAAAAGGATTAAGCAACCACCTTCCCATGCCCCTGAAATGACCCTATAAGCTCCCCCCCCTTTCTCCCTCTCTCTATTCTTGACATGATCTATGAAGTCCTTCACATTGTAAATATTACATCCCTCTGACTCCCTTTAAGCCCTATAGACAGAAAGCAGCTTAGACGGGGCATCACGTCTTAAATGCAGGTCATAAAGAAAGACGGGCTGAAGGGAAAGGAGCCATATGAAATAAAGAAAAATGAAAATGAATACAGTGCCAGTACCAATTGTTAGGCCCCAAACAGACCTGGGAGAAGTTGGGCCACTTAGATTTATGGGACCCTTGTTAATCCAGGAATGGAGAAAGGAGCAAGAGAGAGAGAGAGAGAGAGAGAGAGAGAGAGAGAGAGAGAGAGACAGAGAGAGAGAGAGAGAGAGAGATGAGTGCTTGACATTTATTGGAGGTTTGGGAGATGGTCAAGCTGTCAGCGACTGGGTGGTGCCACAGTCTAGTTTGAAGGTTATGTGCAGTCCCGGTCATTAAGAAGACAGACCCACTGTCAGGAAGCATATCCTCCTTGGGCTTCCCCTCCTATGTGAGCAGAAAAAGGAGCTATCTATCAGGCTTCTGTGGAGGAAAAGCCGTTTATTAAGAAATAAAAGAGAGAAGTTCTCAAAGTTGCCTTCGGCTATTCAGTGTTTCAATATAGCCAACAAAATCACATGACATGAAGCAAAGATGCTTAGTCTGATGTAAGATGTAACAATGACAATTTATTTTTTAATGATTACAGAAATGTACATTAATTATTTGCCATCTTGTTTTCTGATAGATGAAATTTCTAGATAAAATATTACTGGAGATTGTTATGATTGTGTAATCCAATCAGGACTAATATGGCAACAATGTGAGCCTGTCTTACCAAAACACTGAACCTCACCCTGAACTGTCAAAAAAGGGTATTTTACAGGTACAGTTTGGTTTTCCTTATACATAAACTGTGTGGGTATAACATTTCTCATATGGTGCGAGAGACTTTCTTAAATGCATGTGAATGTATTGTGAATGTATCTACATTCTCTTTCCAAGGTAATAAAAGTAAGGAAGACATACCCTTAACTTAAACACCCCAGGGGGTAGGATAAGTAGTGTGCAAAGTACAATTTAGTACCTTTTCCTGACTGTGTTCCCTTATAGCAAGATGGATCTGTGTGTATTTTTACATTACATCAGGGACATTAACACATTAATTATTCAATCTCAATAAGCCAATATCCCAGATGATGTGACCTTTTTCTGGTGAACTGTCATAGCTTGTATGTAAGCACCCTTTTCATAATGTTCCTCATTACTAGCTCCCACGCACTCACACGCTGTTTTTATTAACAAAAAAACAATGCTCTATATGTACCCAATAAGCATACTTGAGGAACTGTATACACACCTTTCTGGAAAAAGTGACAAATAAAGTAACTAGTAGAAGTCTTAAAGTAACATACAACGTAGTCAAAAAATCTGAGACAACTAGTGAAAATGCTTCTGTCTGGCATTCTTTTTGAATTCAGCACAAAATTTTCATCACAAATGATATAACTTGAGTGAAAAGTAGAATATTAGAAATATTTACATGAATTTCAGAATTTCTTAGAATGTCGCATGCCCTCCTTTTTGCTTTAATTAGAGTGAACTCGAGTTGAAACAGACTCCACAAGTTTGTATTAAACCTGATGGTCCATTTTAGGTCAAATCCATCACAGTGTTGTCAAAACACGTGCTTCAATAGAAGGGATAATACTCATGGAAAATCTGACCTTTTGAGGTAGAATGGTCACTATCACAAATCTGCCTAACTTTAATTAATGACCTAGAAATTGTGCAAAATCTTGAAGATTTTGAAGATTTTGTCAAGATGTTGCATATTTTCTTTTTTGTTTGTTTGTTTCAGAATGTTCTTTTTATTTGCTTTCTATTTATTTCCAGTCTTAAATAATTGAAAATTATCAGACTTTTGGACCCCACTGTATATACTTAAGTATCAAAATAATTTATGCATCACAAACATTGAAAAAGGAAGTAGGATAATTTCTTTGTATGAATAAAACTATGAACAATAATAGTCAAACTCAATATACGTTTCAATAAACCTTTAGAATGCCTTTATCTCTGTATTCTTTTTTGTATTGGATGTATGTGGATGGTCCATTTCTTTTAATACTAGTGTAAAGTATGAACAATCACTCAAGCAGAACTAGAAAATGCTGTCAGGAAATATTGTAGTAATAAGTGATCAGTTATCACCTGTAAATGCTAACGACATGAAATATCACAGGAAACATAAAAAGCTCAGTTTACCATAG